CCTAACCACATATATTTTGGTCATTGTGATCCAGCTGTATCCTGCCGGGGCACTGATGCAAAGACATTTTCGACTAAGTAGTTGGTGTTTGCGTTAAAATCCAGAAATGTGTTGTAAGACTCTCCTCTAGCTACTTTATAAATGAGTCATTACACAAATACCTAAGACATGATGCAATTGTACAGAATGAATTTGAACTCCTCTCCCTTAAGAATGAAACTACATCAAGCCTTTTCAATGCCTTCAAGGCTCATAAAATTGGCTGATAATTAGGCCAGGAAGATTTGCTTTACCAATTATGGCAGTTGCTAAATATAATCTCAGAACTGTTTCAGTGTCATGAAGAGACATCAGTTTAAAGGTAAACCAACCTCGCTTGATGTAAGCCTTGATTTTTCTGATGACGGTTTAGTCCCTTATTTATCAGGGGTCGCCACAGCCGAATGAAGTGCCAAGTGCCGCCAACTATTCTGGCATATGTTTTTTACACAGCGGATGCCCTTCCAGCTGCAACCAAATACTGGAAAACACTCATACACTCTTAAATTCCCACTCATACAGTACGGCTAATTTAGTTTATCCAATTCACTTATAGCGCATGTCTTTGGACTGTGGGGGAAACCAGAGCATATGGAGAAAACCCACACAATAACAGGGAGAACTCCACACAGAACAGAAATGCCACACAGAAATGCCAACTCGCCCAGCCAGAACTCGAACCAGCAACCTTCTTGCTGTCAGTGCTAACCACTGAGCCACCATGCTGCCTAGGCATAACATGTTACAATTTAATTAGAGCTCAAACATTTTATTTACACTGCACTTTCTTACAACCGAAGCACTACAAGTCTAATCCTTTATTTTGCTATACTCAATTACATAAATTAACTATATTCTCTGCTACAAACTGGCAAAAAAAACTTTTAGAATCATTGCTCCCTGAAAGCTAAAGAACAGCTGAATTTTCACATTTTCCTGAAAACTACTGACGGTTTGAAAGTAGCTGTCCGAATGATCTCTGATTCAAAGCAGTCCACTTCCATAAAAGTGACAATGCAAAATGGTGCACATTCATAAATAAAATTAAAGCCATTTTACAGAAGCATTTACATCTTACATCACCAATATCAATGTTCATATTAGGATTATTTAAATAGCATTAACTATGACAAGTTCTTGTCCTACTTGTATTATTATTCTGTAGTATAAAAAATTATACAGTGGCATACAATGTTCTTGAAATGACAATGATATTAATTATCGCAATTAGGGATGCAACAATTAACGCATTTCACTATTAACCGTGATTTAATTTGTCAAGGTTAATTAATCGTATAGGCTTTTCAACACCGCGGCACGGAACAAAACTGCTGCAACTAAACAAAGTTATGCCAACTGTGCGCTAGTTTAAGGTTCCAAGCATGTACACCGAGGTTGACACACACACACACACACACACACACACACACACACACAGTTTAACTATGGCTGATGCTCTAAGGGCGTTCACATTTTTCTACTTATGTTATGTGTATGTGGTATTTTCGGTACTAGTAGTATAAATCAAGACCTGTGGCCATCTATAAAAGCCAATTTGATTTAAAAAAAAACATAATTTATTATAACTGGATTTTAACATCTTCCTTCTAATTTTGAAACCAAATTCACACCCTTTGCGGACGAACATGATATGGATAAAGTAGGTTCCCTATCACTCCCTGAGCTTTTTCTTGATCTCAATCTCTCGGTTTACAACCACTCATCCTCTCCAGCGGCACAGATGTTCATTCCCATCTTACCATGCAATGTAATGAATCCCAATCCCTGATTATCCCATATTAAAAGAAGTAGATCAGTCCATGAAACTGCCATTAAAAGCAAAGTCTTATACTGTGAGAAAGAAACGGATGTGCATGATGACTTTACTGACAGTCCAGATAATTCTGATACCAAACAGACATGTTGCTGGAATGTTTGAATAGACTGAACGGAACATCTCAACAATAGTGCAGGAAACAAAAATGTTTGCCTGGATGCTTCTTATCAATCCCCTTAAGAAAACTCATAGGAAGTGGTTTATAATCGTGAAAAGGGTCGCAGGTCTGATTTAGTCATGGAGAGTACACAAAAACCTGACAGTAAAAGTAGACTTATTATGCAAAAATACCTTTATGAGGGGTTTAAACGCAGTTGTGTGGCAATAATGTGTGAATATAGCCAGTGTCTAATGAAAAAAAAATGTAATTATATTTTATGTAGTCACAATTCATAAAAAATTCAGCTAAAATGTTGTAGATATTAATTTTTATGTAAACATGATAGGCAATGTACACCCACCGTCCACTTTATTAGGTACACCTTACTAGTACCAGGTTGAACCCCTTTTGCATTCAGAATTGCCTTAATCCTTCATGGTATATATTCAACAAGGTACTGGAAATATTCCTCAGAGATTTTGGTCCATATTGACACGATAGCATCACGCAGTTGCTGCAGATTTGTCGGCTGCAAATCCATGATGCGAATCTCCTGTTCCACCACATCCCAAAGGTGCTCTATTGGACTGAGATCTGGTGACTGTGGAGGCCACTTGAGTACAGTGAACTCATTGTCATGTTCAAGAAACCAGTCTGAGATGAATCGCGTTTTATGACATAGTGTGCTATCCTGCTGGAAGTAGCCATCTGAAGATGGGTATACTGTGGTCATAAAGGGATGGACATGGTCAGCAACAATACTTAGGTAGGCTGTGGCGTTGACACGATGCTCAATTGGTACTACTGGGCCCAGAGTGTGCAAAGAAAATATCCCCCACTGGCCCACACCATTACACCACCACCACGAGCCTGAACCATTAATACAAGGCAGGATGGACCCATGCTTTCATGTTGTTGATGCCAAATTCTAACCCTACCATCTGAATGTCACAGCAGAAATCGAAACTCATCAGACCACGCGATGTTTTTTAAATCTTCTGATGTCCAATTTTGCTGAGCCTGTGCAAATTGTAGCCTCAGTTTCCTGTTCTTAGCTGACAGTAGAGGCACCCAGTGTGGTCTTTAGCTGCTGTAGCCTATCCACCTTAGGGTTGTGCATTCAGAGATGCTCTTCTGCATACCTCGATTGTAACGAGTGGTTATTTGAGTTACAGTTGCCTTTCTATTAGCTTAAACCGTCTGGCCATTCTCCTCTGACCTCTAGCATCAACAAGGAAGGCAAACAGAACTGCCGCTCACTGGACATTTTCTCTTTTTCAGACCATTCTCTGTAAACACTACAAATGGTTGTTTGGAAAATCCCAGAAAAATCTGCAATTTTTGAAATACTCAGACCAGTCCGTCTGGCACCAACAACCATGCCATATTCAAAGTCACTGATATCACTTTCTTCCCCATTCTGATGCTCAGTTTAAACTGCAGCAGACCATCTCGAGTTGCTGATATGCAATTGGCTGATTAGAAATTTGTGTCCATGAGCAGTTGGACAGGTGTACCTAATAAAGTGGCCAGTGAGTGTACATTGTATCACAAAAATTTTCATGTCAATATGTTGATTATTGTGTCAGGCCTGTGTATGCTGTCTTAGCTAAGAGAAATAAGAAAAAAAATACATTTGGAGTTGCATTCTGGCCTTTGATCAGCATAAAAATGATGCATAGGCTTTTACACAGATGACTCAATTACAGAAGCAGGCTAGCAGCAGCATGTGAGTATGTCATGTAGCACCACGTGGTTTAGGGCCTCCAACTGTTTCCTGTTTTGGGGTCATTGTCTGGTTTTTCAAAAGTGCCAAATCTGATAAGAACTCATTTTTATGTCACACTAGTGTTGTGTGAGCAAATAAAAATGTTCCAGCTGATCATATTGTGGGATAATTCCATAAGAGAGAATGCTTTGATTGAATGGTCCAAAAATCACAAAGGGAAAATCTTTTGAACTGCATTTAGCTGACAGTATAAACAACAAATGACAATATAAACAGTATTAACAACAAATGGAACAATTGAAGCCAGAGAATGAATTACTCACATAGGTTCACTCACTGTATGTTTTATACTAGATTCACCAAAAAATCTCCAACAATAAAGTTAAACATATCAAACAAGCAACGTTAGGCTATATCAGTTTGGTATAAACAACCCAGGCGAGGCAGTGGAGCAGTTGGTAGTGCTGTCGCCTCACAGCAAGAAGGTCGCTGGGTCGAACCTCGGCTCAGTTGGAGTTTCTGTGTGGAGTTTGCATGTTCTCCCTGCGTTCGCTTGGGTTTCCTCCGGGTGCTCCGGTTTCCCCCACAGTCCAAAGACATGCGGTACAAGTAAATTGGGTAGGCTAAATTGTCTGTAGTGTATGAGTGTGTGAATGTGTGTGTGGATGTTTCCCAGAGATGGGTTGCGGCTGGAAGGGCATCCGCTGTGTAAAAACTTGCTGGATAAGTTGGCGGTTCATCCCACTGTGGCGACTCCGGATTAATAAAGGGACTAAGCTGACAAGAAAATTAATGAATGAATAAACAATCCAGTAATGACTGTTCCATCAACGTCCCTGTGGCGAGTGCATTCACAACAATATTAAAGTAATGTTTGTTTTATATTCACAATTTCACTCATTTTGACTTTCTCCTTAATTTCAGAAAATTATTTTAAATGCTGAAATCACATTAGCAGCCAACAACTACCAAGCACAACATAGTTTAGTCAATAAAATAGTGCTAAAGTTGTTTTGAAGTCATATTTACATGTCCGAATTTTCAAAGTACCATCGTTGGTAAACCGTATAGGGAACGTGTCACAAGTTGTCAATGAACGAATGTGCGATTATAAAACCACCTTTACCTCATTCCCAACAATGCGTTTCAACACGGTCATGCGACAACAACAAACAACTGCGTAACATCGAGACAAGCAATAAAACAGTAGCAGCTCACATTCCTACTGAGGCAACTTTAACAGGAGCTTAGTCTGTGATAAGACACAGGTATGCTGTCAGTTGTGTTGGTCTTACCTGCGGAGGAGGAGTCGTCGTGGTCTGAGCTCAGGTATCCGTCAGGTGTGCTGCGCCCCGAGCCGTGAGACCCGCGCAGATAAGGCGAGAATCTGCCATCATCCGAGTCCATATCCCGACTAATGCGGACACGGGGGTTCCGCCGGTGACTCTCCCGGACGTTACCCTTCGGGACGAGCAGGTTTTTCTGCACAAAGTTCTGGTTGAGCTCCTCGTCCTCGAACTCGCGGTCACTGTCCGGCTCGTTGTTCGGTTGCTCAGCAACGCTCTCAGGGATGTCAGGAGCCGGTGAGTTTTCCTGCAAGACTTCGGGCTTCTTCCGAGGAGGAGCGAGGATGGGTTTACCTGTCTTGCTGCCCTGGAGTAAGTCCCGAGCGAACGGCTCGTCCCCGCCTCTGCTTTCTGTCCCGCAAGCGTTGTCTTTCTTTAAACCTTTGTTCCAGCATTTCTCAATGTCACATTTTTTCTTCTTCCGCGCGATGGTGGTCTGCAAGTAAATCACCTTGAACTTCTCCTCCGACAGAGCCTGCTGTAACACCTTCAGGTTGGCTTTGCATTTCTCCAGCTCAGCCTCAATGTCCTCCGCCGAGTGGAGGTTCATCACGGGCACTTCACCGTCGGGAAACTCATTCTTCCAGTGCTTCTCAAATTCCGCCTGCTCCCACATTGTCAAACTAGATCAGGAGCGAAACAAGTCCTTGAAAATGTGCAGTTCGTGTTAAAACAGTTTAGGTTGACTGTCTGAAACGCGCGTTGTGAAGCAGCGACTGTTCATTTTCTCTTCATCCACTCACTCACTCACGCCACAGATCAGTTTACAACTGAAAAAAAACTTTCAGCTTCCGCTACTTTGGAAAGTCGTGACGTCAGCTGGACAACGAGCCAATCAGGTCCTCTTGTCGTTTACATTAAGACGTGCAAAATCCCTGCCTGTGGTTGAATTTTATACACCACTGAAGCCCCACCTGTAGAGTAAACACGCGCTTCCGTGCTCAAATGAAATACAGTTCAGATTTACAAACAAATGCATTTGCAAATCCAAATAAATGAATACCTATCTGAAATTTAACAATAAACGATAATTCTTAAACTAAGGGCACTTTTTGTTCTTTGATTATATATCCAAATATATTTAGAATTTTGTACAAAATCCTATTTCTTTGTCAAACTAACAATGAAACCTACTTTTTAAAAAAATTCAAAAAATTTCTATTAAATATTTTTTATATTATTCAACCTCCTTTTAGGTGTCAAAATCACTATTTTCACCTTGTCACACACCCAGAGTTTTAAACTTCAACAATGAAAATAACATTTTAAAATATTATTGATCTGGTATCTGTTAATGTATCTTAATGAAGCACTGGTGAAATAATTAAAAAATATTATAGCTAATAATGTGAGACTATTATCAATATACATTTTTATACAAAATATAGCTGTCGCACAGTATCTGTCATTTCCACCACAACACTGAAATGTCACTTTAAAAAGTTTGTGTGAAAGATTATTTAGGTGGGATCTACTATGAAAATGAATAGTGCCATCTGAGAACATGTTCAAGATGGAGGGAATTAAATTTTTTTTATTAACAACACTTGAAAAACAATCAAGGTAAATATTGCTTGATAAGGAGATACATTTATTATATGTCTTTTCCATGTTGTACCTTCAAAGATGTTTTTAAAAACCAAACAAAATTAAGGTAAATAAGAGTATTTTGTGGCGACGCATTGTCGCAGTAGGTAGTGCTTGTCGCCTCAAAGCAAGAAGGTCGCTGGTTCGAGCCTCGGCTGGGTCAGTAGGCGTTTCTGTGTGGAGTTTGCATGTTCTCCCTGCGTTCGTGTGGGTTTCTTCCGGGTGCTCCGGTTTCCCCCACAGTCCAAAGACATGCAGTACAAGTGAATTGGGTAAACTAAATTGTCCGTAGTGTATGAGTGTGTGTGTGTGTGAATGTTTCCCAGAGATGGGTTACAGCTGGAAGGGCATCCGCCGTAAAAATGTGCTAGATAAGTTGGCGGGTCATTCCACTATGGTGACCTCAGATTAATAAAGAGACTAAGCCGACAAGAAAATGAATGAATCAATGAATACATCTATATATATATATATATATATATATATATATATATATTAGTTATAATTAGTTTTATATGGAATGACTATTCAGCATTCACAGGTTTGGTTACAGTGTTCCTCAGTGGCTGCATTTCTCACAACAGTATTTCCATTTGCACAACAGTTAATGCATTTATCAAAACAATCATTTGTGCACATCATAGTAGCAGTTTCTCATTCCTTCCAACAAATTGCGAATGCTTTTAGACATGCATCAATTGCTTTCATACAATGCTCTGCTGTTATTAAACACTATCATTTGCTTATGTCATGGCAGTCAAAATGAACTAAACTTGTGAATGCTGAATAGTCATTCCATATAAAACAAATTGTCCTCATTTCATTACACGAGTCATTACATACAAAAATGTTAAAAGTTGTCAATCTGTCAAACAAATTTGATAAAAATCTTTAAATCTTTTTTTTTCCCTGAAAAAGTGTTCTAAATTAATTGATTTCATGAATGATTTACAGACCTGTGTATGTTGTAGGTTCGGTTCCAATATGTTCTGTAATATTGTTTACGATTTTGCACAGCTTTACCCAAAGGGAGTTTATGTTTGTTGTAAAAAGGGTGTATTTTTTCTTTTGCACAATGCTGTGAATAAATTAGAATGGCAAAGAGCAAATGCAAAACTGTGAAACATACATATTCAGTGTCTTGTACTCAGATACCTTACTAAATGCAGTGATGTCTAACCTTACTGTAGTTTTCAAATGGCTGTGCAAATAGACAGACAGACAGACAGACCAGACAAAAGATGGACAGATAGTAGACAGACAGACAGACAGACAGACAGACAGACAGACAGACCAGACAAAAGATGGACAGATAATACACAGAGAGACAGACAGATAGACCAGACAAAAGATGGACAGATAATACACAGAGAGACAGACAGACAGACCAGACAGAAAATGGACAGATAATACACAGAGACAGACACATAGACCAGACAAAAGATAGACAGATAATACACTGAGAGATGGACAGATAGTAGACAGACAGACAGACAGACAGACCAGAGAAAAGATGGACAGATAGTAGACAGACAGACAGACAGACAGAGACAGACAGACAGGCAAACTAGACAAATTATGGATAGTATATAGACAGACTAGATAGACAGATAGATAGGCAGGCAGACCAGACAGGCAGACCAGACAAAAGATGAACAGACAGACAGACAGACAGTAGATAGACAGACAGACAAATAATATACAGATAGACAGACAGATAGACCAAAAAAAGATGAACAGATAATACACGGACCGACAGACAGACAAAAGATGGACAGATAGTATAGATAGACAGACAGACAGACAGACAGACAGACAGACAGACAGACAGACAGACAACAGATGGATGGACAGGCAGACAGACAGACAGACAGACAGACAGACAGACAGGCAGACAGACAGACAGACAGACAGACAGACAGACAGGCAGGCAGACAGACAGACAGACCAGACCAGACAGAAAATGGACAGATAATACACAGAGACAGACACATAGACCAGACAAAAGATAGACAGATAATACACTGAGAGATGGACAGATAGTAGACAGACAGACAGACAGACCAGAGAAAAGATGGACAGATAGTAGACAGACAGACAGACAGACAGACAGACAGAGACAGACAGACAGACAGACAGACAGGCAAACTAGACAAATTATGGATATTATATAGACAGACTAGATAGACAGATAGATAGACAGGCAGACCAGACAGGCAGACCAGACAAAAGATGAACAGACAGACAGACAGATAGTAGATAGACAGACAGACAAATAATATACAGATAGACAGACAGATAGACCAAAAAAGATGAACAGATAATACACGGACCGACAGACAGACAAAAGATGAACAGACAGACAGACAGACAGTAGATAGACAGACAGACAAATAATATACAGATAGACAGACAGATAGACCAAAAAAGATGAACAGATAATACACAGACCGACAGACAGACAAAAGATGGACAGATAGTAGATAGACAGACAGACAGACAGACAGACAGACAGACAGACAGACAGACAGACAACAGATGGATGGACAGGCAGACAGACAGACAGACAGACAGACAGGCAGACAGGCAGACAGACAGACAGGCAGACAGACAGACAGGCAGACAGACAGGCAGGCAGACAGACAGACAGACAGACAGACAGACAGACAGGCAGGCAGACAGAAAGACAGACAGGCAGGCAGGCAGGCAGACAGGCAGACAGACAGATAGACTGACAGACAACAGATGGATGGATAGACAGTCAGATAGATAGACAATAGATGGATGAACAGCCAGACATATATATAATAAATAGGCAGCCACAGGCAGGCAATAGACGGACAGACAGGTGGAGATGATTCTGGAAGCACAGTTGCCAATTAAAAAAGCTTTATTTCTGTTAACGTGTTCATTGTGGCATAACCAGAACCTCCAACTCTCCTCTCTCTAGACTCCTCCAACATGCTCAATTGTTCGTAAAAGATTGTACATTTACACATAATCAAATTTGACCCACTCTTTTACTGAAGCGTCTTCCAGTATATTTGAGGTCAGACTTTGATATCCCAGTTGAGTTGATTCCACAGTCCATTCTCCGTCCAAGAGCCCATTGTTCATTCGGACTCCCATTCTCACCCCCATGTCAATACCATTAGCAGAGAATGGGCAGAACAAATCTGATATGGGTATCGCGGTGTCACTGGAGATCTGGAAATGGCCGAGCTCCAGCAGTTGCATGAGAAACTAAAGATGAGAAAGTGTGAGAAGTGTGCATTGACAGTCACGTCTACGTGATATAGTCTTCCAGCAGCTTCAGATGCCTAGAAATCCTGCTTTTTCTGTCTTCTGCTGAAATGATTAGCAGCATCTTGACTGTTAGCAACACACCATTGAAGCAAAGCGTGAGTATGTTTGAGCTTGTGCATTAGCACCGGACATTTAAATGCAGTTTCAGCTTTACTATACAGGAATCAGCTTTAATAATTGATGAGATTTTGCATCATTTTTCCTCATCGTGTGCTGACTTTCAGATTCAGGCCTTGAACAGTGTTTCATGTTAGGCATTCGGTGGTTTAAACTTTAATAGACACCTATTTTGAGTCTTTTAAAAGATGTAAGCTAAGCCTTTGGCTTTTCTAGAATGTGTTTGTAAAGTTTCAGTTCAAAATACCCAGCAGATTATTTATTATAGCCTCCAGAATCTGCCCATTTTGGTGTCTGAAAACAGTGTAGCTGTTTTTGTAGCCTGCTACTCATCATCTGTTACATCAGATAAACAGCACAGTGACAGACACAGGCTCGGATGAAGCTAAAATGCAGCTCATTAGTCAAAAATACCATGTAGGTTTTATTTTATGTATTTGTGAAGTTTATTTAAGCCTTTCTGAAATGATGAGTCTCAATGAAGTCAGAATTAATAGCCTCCCTTTGATTTTTTTTTTCAGTTTTAAATATTTCCCAAATGATGTTTAACCGAGCAAGGAAATTTTCACAGTATGTCTGATAATATTTTTTCTTCTAGATAAAGTCTTATTTATTTTATTTTGGCTAGAATAAAAGCAGTTTTTAATTTTTTAAAAACCATTTTACGGTCAAAATTATTAGCCCCTTTAGGCTAATTGTTTTTTTTTTTTCAATAGCCTTCAGAACAAAACCATCACCTGCCAGTTAACCTAATTAACATAGTTAGGCATTTAAATGTCACTTTAAGCTGTATAGAAGTGTCCTGAAAAATATCTAGACAAATATTATTTACTGTCATCATGACAAAGATAAAATAAATCAGTTTTTAGAAATGAGTTATTATAACTATATT